CTGACATCTAGATGATTTTAGCGATTTTGTATGAAGAAAAACGAAAAACCCACCACTTCAGTCCAGATTAAAAATGCATTGTGACGCACGATACTCACATTTGTACCAAGTAAAAAATTCTTTTCTGTAATGCCACATTACTGCGTTACAGCAAAAAGCAATGCATAACAGTATTTATAACACTTTACTCCCAACACTCTTCCTAATATAAAACTTAACTCCAAATTCGTCTCATCATCACAAGCATCGTGAGCTTTATTTGGCCAGATCCAAACGGTATCGGTAACTCCACAAACCCTTAGCCCACTTCTTTATACAGTCTATGACGCGGACAGACCATGCGTGTCCCTGATTGGCTGATCCACCTGTCAATCACAGCCATCTGAAAACGGGGAGATTCACCGGTGACCACTCGCAGCTTTTTAAAGTATTGAATTGAACAACCTTGTATTCTGAACCCCAGGCAAAAAGTGAGTTAAATTGATTTTTAAAACTACATCTCCATTAAGTCATTTTCGTGTTCATAACATCACTGAAATTGCTTTTACTAGAGGATTTTTTGATGCCCTAACACAGTCATATTGGCCTTTTTATATCCAAAGTTTTGATATGGCAATCCTGCAGGAACTTCCAATCTCTCTTTTTTTTTTTTTTTTTTCTGTACAATCACGCCTCATTACACTCTGCATTATTCTATACAATTTCCCCACTGTTTAACACATTTCCTTGTCCTTCCTTTAGTCTGGTCCAAGCTTAGCGTTAGCATTGTGGTGGCTCAGATGAACAGAAAGTGCTGAGTCGGCCTGTGATCTGGCCCCTAATCAGTGCGTTTGAGGCTCCCAATTATGTGCAGCCCACAAATCCCCTGCAGACACAATTATCAGCGCGAAGAGACCAGCGTTCTGTCATTTACCCTCCACACACATCCGCTCCACAAAAAGCCATCTAAAAGTTTAAGGCCTTAGTCATTATGGGAGCCTCATCACGTAAACAGCACATCAATTTCAACTTGCTTTCTGGGTAATTTGGTTAAGCTTCCATTGTGATGCGATTTTCCCTAATACCATGACCTCTCAAGTTCATTATACAAACAGAAAGCAGTCATTTTTGTATGTGTTCCGTCTTGGAGCTAATAAAGGCTTTGGTATTTTTTGGACACCAGCAGAGTTCACGCGAAGTTTTCTCGGTGGAAATTTTGATAAATGATAGGTATGCTTCAAGGCAGAGGTGGGCCCAAGTCATTTTTTCGTCGTTTTACAAGTCTCAAGTAAGTCTCAAGTCTTTTATGGAATCAATTTTGAGTCATATAGTTAAAAGAACGCTTGTAAAACGTCAAGCAAAAACTTATATCGAATTGTTAGTGCAGTTGTGTAAAATATTTGTCTTTGCCTCTTTTATTTTTGTTCCACGTCTTTCTCAGTTTTGTCTGTTGGCGTTGTTTTGTTGTTGTTATGATTCCAGTCTTCTCGTTTGCACTCCCTGAGTTTTTGGTTGCAGTTTTGGCATAAACATGACAGGTGGGTGGGATTTCCTGACCTAGTACCTCTGCTCAATTTCATTTCTCTCCAGCGACTAGGTCAGGAATCGGAACACGCTAGATGGTTCGCAAAAACCCCGGAAGTGCGAGTCCGGCACCAGCCAATCAACAAAGAGCCAAAGATTCTGTGTTCACAACAAAACGAAAGAGAATGTTTGCTGAATTTTCTCAAGGAGAAAAACGTTATTGTCCTTCTTCCTATGAGATTTGGGAAAAGCCAGTTAGCCCCGTTAGCAGTGCATTACATACGTCACGACCAAATAGCAGCGATTGCTTGAATAAAAAAGTACCCACCTACCGTTGAGCAAATGAATCCTAATGCTGCGTGGTCAGATGGTTTGCACGAAGTGAAACCGGCTGATGAATCAGGCTAGGGATTTCCATGGGTTCATTCCCCTTGACTAATTTATGTTTGATGGACAGCTGAGCTCGGAGCTTCGGAAGCTCTTTTGGGCATTTCCTGTTAAAGTTCTGGTGCTCAGGGCTTTTCTAATATTCACCGTTCTCTGCTGGATGGTTCTTCTGGAAGAGCGTTATTCTGTACAGTGTAAGTACTGGACCAAAACTACAACAGGAAATGTCTACAGCAACTTTCAAGGCAGGGTCCACGCTTCAAGCAAAAAGTTAGGGAGTGCAAATGACAAGACTGGAATTGGAACCAAAGAAAATGGCATCAAACACAACCTTTTTGTTTTTGCTTGATTTTTTTTATTTTTTATATTTTTTGGTATTTTGATTTATACTTTTTTGCTTAATGGCTTTTTTGCTTAACAGTTTGGAAAAACTCCGGAAGTTGTAGACCGTGCACCGGCCAATCAGAGAAGAGCTGAACCAACTAGAGTTGCGATAGCAGACTGCATACACTATACTCCTTTGGACTTCCTTTTTCAAACACAAACTTCGCATTTTTTATTGCTCCTTTAATTCACAAGTTCATCTCGTAAAAATTACAATGATCGCCGACAGACATGTTCACTCTCTGCTTTTTTTGCTGTTGTGTCGACAGTTACTTGGACACCACTGAGTGCTACGGCGCATTACATATGTCACGACCAAATTGCAGCAATTGATAAAAAAAGTACCCACCTACCATCGAGCGAATGAATCAAAACGCTGCGAGGTTGAAACCAGCTGACGAATCAGGCTATGATACCTGATTTAGTCCTGATCTGCAAACACGCTAATCAGGCTGACGCCACCTAGTGCCTCCGCTCAATTTCATTTCTCTCCAGCAACTAGGTCAGGAATCAAAATACACTAGACGGTTCACAGAAACCCCGGAAGTGCAAGTTCATGCACCAGCCAATCAGTAAAGAACCATTTATTCAATGTTGGCAACGATTCCTGAGATCGAGGATTTAAAGCCGTAACAAAGAGAATGTTTGATAAATTTTATCAAGGGGAAAGATATTATTGTCCTTCTTCCTACGGGATTTGGGAAAAGCTTAATATACCACTTAGCCCCTTTAGCGGCGCATTACATACTTCACGAACAAATAGCAGCGATTGTCTAAATTTAAAAAAGTACCCGTCTACCATCAAGCGAACGAATCCTAACACTGTGAGGTCAGACGGTTTCTACGAAGTGAAACCGGCTGATGAATCAATCTACAAACACGCTGCTTTAACTTCAACAAATACAACGGTGGTGCCTCACTTTGTAGATTTATTTGCAAAAAAATAAAATAAATAATGACCTAAAATGTGTGGGTGTTTTAATGTTTTTATTACACTGTAAAAACATGGATCCTTACCATAAATTGTGTATAGAAGTGAACAGAGAGAGTGTAACGTCACCCAAAGCGCTCAGCTCCAGTCAAATGAACCCAATCAGTGCTGACAGTTCTAGCTTCTAATTTGGAGCCGAGTTTCATATTTACAATTAAAATACTCCATCTTTAAAGGCCTCCTCCTGCTTGTTTCCGTGGAAAAAAACGCAAACACAGTGCTTTAACTTTAACAAATACGACGGTGGTGGCAGAGGCGCATGTCCGTGTGAGTTTCGACGGGGGACCTCCTGCTGCTTACATAGCACAAGCAGCAGGCTCTCCCTCAGATCATTAGCAGGGATCATTACTCTGTCCTTCCCCCTGGCTCCACACACTTCCACTGTGATGTACGAGCATGTGTCCGCAGACAACTCCACTACTGACTGAGGCCATACCGTCAGGCACTAAAAGAACTCCACAACGTGCACGCATCTCAACACCAAACAACACCAGCTTTGATTCATTGAGTCACCAGCGTCGTGCTTCTTAGATGTTTATGAGGTTTGGGGTTATTAAGTGCAAACACTAAACAATATTTAGTTAAAGGTTAGGGTTTTGTTTTATGCGTTTAATGAAAATCTACCAAAAACTACTTATTTTCCCTCAAAAACCATTTACATTCCCTCAAAGCCTCACTATGTTATTAGAAAAAAAAAAAAAAACATGAATTCTTACCTTAGACCAGTGCCCCTCAATTACTTTCTATCATGCTCCCCCTCAGGAAGAAGAAAATATTTCATGTCCCCCCACTCCTTAGAACCACTACCAAACGTGAACAAATCGCACCCTCGCCTTCAGTCGCCTACATACGAGAGCAAACGTTTTATTTGCGTCTCCGTAAGCGACTCCGGGGACACGTATTCCACGCTGCGCTCACCTGAGTCATGGGGCGGCCTGCTCCCATGTCCTCCTCTTCTTTAAAGATGGTGTCCATGGTATACTTCGGGTCACTTGTGTCATCCAGCATAACAGGAACCATCCCTAACACTGCAGCAGTGTCAGCTCCAATATGTGGTACGCCACCTTGTATGACACTAACAGAGCTCGCTGGTTTACTGAAGAAGCATTCAAAAGTGCAATGATTGTTGGTGATATTCGTCATGTTTTTGCTGAAAAAACTCAAGGGTCTTATCAGCGTGATTGGGGTGTAATGTCTTTATGCAATTCTGTAATTTATTTGGCTTCATGCTGTCTGCTGCCAACATTTTTAGACACAGTGGCTGTGTCCCAATTCAAAGGGCTGCAGCCTCCGAAGGCTGCGAAGGCTGGGTCCTTCGTCGGCCGCGAAGGCTGCAGCCCTTGAACTGGCCTCCGCGGACGCCAGGCCGTTGCGGAAATGGGACAGGTCTAGCCCTCGGAGCCGCTCCCCCGTCGCCCAGCAACCGAGGGACGCTGCTAGAGCTAATGCTAATGCTAACACGCTCCGCGCAGATTACGCACACGGATCAGTAAAAAGAATACGCACAGGTCATCAAACTGTCGGATTTTGTGACCAAATTATTTTAATAATTCGCATCCAAATCTTATGGCCAAAAACGAAAATGTATGTTTAACTTTTGCAAAACAAAACGGCTATATTTAAGGGATACATCTTAAATAGACTAAATTATCTTAAAGTTTACAAAAACTATGATGAGATATGCATTACTAAATATTATCATTATTAAGGATTTGTAAAGAAAGAAAGACATCTCTCCTGAGAAAAGCTGGTTTATTAAACAATCCAAGGAACTTCTGGAAATACTTTATCATAATATGAAGTCAAATATTAAACCCATTACACACACTCTGCATTAACAGGTTAGTACAAACAGCTGTATGTCAGTAAATCTCATTGTGTTCCCTTTTTGCTGAAGCAAGTGACAATCAAAAATGAACAAAATATCTTTGCCAAATATGATCATGTGGAATACCACAGCTTATCTGCAGTACAATAGTACATTCTTATAGTACATGTAATTAGTTACTATCAAAAGAGACATCAAATAAATGGCACATTTCACCATAAATCAAATGTCAGTACAGACTGAAAAACATTCAGAAAAACTTATGAGCAGATGTTTTCATTTCTGTCTCACACACTTGTTCAGATCATATGAGACTCTGGACCTCCTCCTCAGAGACTCTGGACATGGACATTGGAGACATGGACATTGGAGACATGGACATTGGAGACATGGACATTGGAGACATGGACATTGGAGACATGGACAGTGGAGACATGGACAGTGGAGACATGGACAATGGAGACATGGACAGTGGAGACATGGACAGTGGAGACATGGACACATGGACATTGGACATGGACATGGAGACATGGACACATGGAGACATGGACATGGACATGGACATGGGACATGGACATGGACTGGACACTCAGTCTGATGTGTCTCTCGTCTTCTGGAGGAGGAAGAGCAGAATGGGTGTTAGGTCTGATTGATTCAAAGTTCTGTCCTGCAGAGTGAAAACCTGTAATGACAAACACATTAAGAAAACTACAACACTATTAGAGGAAAATAAGTTTCACAGAGCATGCAGCCCCAAAGAACACCTGGACTCCCCCCGCACTATTTACATTTATTATTATTTATTTATACGCAAGGGAGTGAGAAAAACAATTCTTTATATGTTTTTCGTATGAAGAATTGACAATAAACAATTTTAACGTTGAACTTAAACTCTGATGTACATTCAGATTCAAAGGCAGTTTATATCTGAAACAGCTAAATGAATAGAGGAATCCCACACATTTGAGAAATGCATATTTTCACAATTTAAAATCATAATTTCAACATGAGCATGATTCATTTGCAGCTCTTATTATTAGTAGAATTTTCATTGTAACATGCCCCATACCTAATCGTTGGCAGGAGTCTGGGTCAGCACCTCCAGCTCAGTGTTGGCTTTACTTTGTCATCTGCATTTGACCCATTTTATGAATCACAAGCATCTTGTCAGCCAACAGTTCTGTGGCCCCTGCAGTGTGCTGTGTCCTCATACAGGAGGCTGCAGATGAGAAAAGAAAATTCATGTAAAACAGATTTCTCATTGTTATAACATTAGATGTGATAGACTTAACAGACAGTCAGGTCGTATCTACACCAGGTCATATCTACACCAGTGTCTGCACAAATCTGTTAAATGAGCCTCATGTCCATCATAAATCTGACCTGTCCAGGCAGGATTATTTACTCTTCACTTTACAAACATGCACGTTTTGTTAAAAGCAGATAATGTATTCCCTGAATGAAATGCACACGTTGGAGGCTTATATTATGTGATTTACAAGTAAATATGAGCTTTGATAGAGTCAAACTGAGTCTTTTTCAGTTGAATGTATGAAATAATGCGTGTTTTCATCTTAACTCCGAGCTACACTGACCAACTGTTTACATGTTTACACTGTCCGTGAAAACGTGGAGTTTTCTCCTCGTAGCTTCTTTAAATCACTCTGTGGGCTTCTTTTCCCCTAACAGTAAAAACATCATTAGTGTTTGATGGAAATCTGTCCAAATATGAAAGTTTGAGCGGACTTTTCATCGCATTAGCTGCACATCACTAGGCAAACTTTAGCTCAAAACTCCGCGGTTCACGCAGTTAAAAACAAACTTATTTGACAGTTTTGTGGGAGTTATTGTCGTATTTTACGTTTACAGTTGTGTTAATAATGATTTCCTAAAGTTAAAAGTGTTACTCACATGTTTTTCTCCGCTCTCCGGACGGGCTTTTTGCTCCGTGTTTTCTCGTGTTTTCGCTCCGTTTTTTCGCTCCGTGTTTTCGAACATCTGACTGCCACCGCGCGGTGCATGCTGGGATACTGAAGGCTGCGAAGGATACTCGGATGTGTCCTCCGTTCGCGGCCCCATCTCCATGGAAACGAGGCCGGTTTTAGGGCTGCATTTGAAGGCTGCATGATATAAAAATGAAATGGGACAGGCCTTGTTTCACCCGAAGTGACGTATGCGGCCTTAAAACCAGCCTTCGGAGGCTGCAGCCTTCGAATTGGGACACAGCCAGTATGTGACCTGAGTCTTTGTTCTGTGTGTGGACGTGGGCGGAGTCTGCTGGGAGCACCTGCACCCCATCTGCAATCAAGCCTGCTACAAAGGCCCAACTCTCCTGCCAGACTCTGCCAGATTGTTTTCGTCTACCTGACGGTGATTTTTCAGTCGGCTCAGGTTTTGATTCTACCTTACTTTCAGTATACTTACCTGCATTTTTGTATTCCTAGTTCCCACTGTTGAAGACTCCTGCATTCCGACTGCTGGCTCTTCATTCCTCCACCGCCTATCCTCCCTGGCCAATAAACCTTTGTTACTTTTGCATTTTTTGTCCTTGTTTTCAGTCTTTTTTGGGGTCCACTCCTGTGGTGCGTAACACAGTAAACACAGCAGTCTTTCCTTGTTTCCCGCCGTAGTCACAGTGAAGCTGGGCGCTACATACGCTTTACATCTCCTGCTCTGCGTGCGTTTGCTCAGTACAAAAAACCCGATACTATAGCGTTAATACTACTTTAGTTGATGTGCAATTACAGTTAATTCTAGTACAAAAAAAAAAAAAAAAAAAAAGCATGTTCCCTGAGGTCACACTGGCCTCCAGCATTTCACCCACTATTTGAGAAGGACTGCCATAGACTGTGTAAGTAAGTGGACAGAGAGAGTGTGATGTCACCCATATAGCGCTCAGCTCCAGTCAAATGAAGCCAATCGAGGCTAGGAGTTAGCGGCTAATCTGGAGATTACTGTTCTAGACATAAGATTAATATTTTGCATTTGCTGATTGCCGGACCAATTGCATAACAGCATTTAGGTTTGGGTGGAAGCCAAAGGCAAGGTGCCCAAACAAAACCAAAACAAACATGGCAACACTGACAGACATACTTATTTTAGTGTGTACATTAGTTTAAACATGCAAAAGGTTAGAACTTCTGGTAAATGGTCATATTTTTACAAGTGCTTTTCCACTTTCAAGACACACAAAGCTCTTTATGCTTATAGGCATTTTTGGACCATGAAGCTGTCTGTACTTTTCTCTCAACTGGATGTAACAAAAGTTTGATTTTTCAGCTTGTTTCAGTGTTGAGAGGCTTCGACCAATCAGACGGAAATATTTGCCCTGTTTTATTGTGATCACCACACACATGAATCTGGTCTGAGCCAGGTTAGTTTTAATTTTTTATTTCCATGAAATCACACAGGACAGGTGATGCGCCTCCTCCAAAATGCTGCATACTGTTAGTTTAAAGTGGACAAGTTCTGCTGTATCTCCAATCATGAACTTGTATTATCTCCGCGTACAGGCCCACCATACCATCACCACCCTACGTTTATTTTAGACAAAGCTTTATAATTAAAATCTAATCAGAGACGCTGGAACACATGAATATTTAAAGGCCCTTCCCTGTGAAACCTAATGAAATGCTAATTTATGAAAGCTGTAGGCATCGTTTGAACCGCGGTGCAAATTTGGATTTCGAGAGATTCCCTTAAGTCATTTCCTTTACCGCTAATGTTTACAGCACTTTATACAACTGTTTCTGTATCCCGTAGACGCTTTACGAACATTTGATCTGCAGCGGCATAGACAATAAGAAGAGAATAAGAATATAGGATTGCCAGACATGGTTTTGAGAAGGTAACAACGTTCTAACATGACTTAAAGCTCAAAAGATGGTGTGATGTAGAAGCTTTCACCTAGTTATGTCTCCTCCGTGTCGAGGTTTCGAAGCATGTGCCGAGTAATCCAGGAAGTCTTTGGTGAAGCGGGTATCGAGGCTTGTATTGGTGACGCATGTGGTGACGTTCGAAGCCTCGCGAACCGCCCGTACCACGTGACTGGTTCAGGAAGTGGTTTGTGGATTTGGCGTGTGATTCGAAACATAAGAACTACTGAAACGCAATGGATTCTCGGTCACATTTTGTGGTTTTGGGTTATTGTGAGTTTGGTACATTGTATTTGAGATTCTATCTTTTTTTTTTTTGCGATGGAGCCAGCAAGAAAAAGAATATTTTCCCCTGTTTGGGAACATTTTGAGCTGATATCTCCTAATAAGATGTATAGTAATAATGACGTCAGTAAATAAACAATATTACTAAATACACACATTTGACAACACATTGTTTCCCCTGCTCTAATTTCTGTAAAAAAAAAATAATAATAAAATTCTATCTCCAATTTGTTCCTGTTGTCGAAGATTTCAGCTTGTCCAAGAAAGGGTGGAAGTAAAAGGCTGGAGACCAACTGGACGTCTTACGCAGGAGAAGTTTATTTACCATCAATAATACGGCAAGGGGGACTTGAAAAATCAACATAATATGAGTTCAAAAGAGAACATAGTGTGATCTTTGCGTGTTCGAGCCCCTTTCACTCTGCTTCCGGAGAAGGAGGTTTATAAAGCAAGTGGTGAGACTATGAAGGTCAGTAGACACCGGTTAAACAGCAATATGCCACAGTTTAGATAGTGGTATGCAAATGGTGCATCAAGGGAAGATCATGGTATAAATATAGCTTTTGTGTGTCAGTGTTAAACTGAGATGTACGTGGAAGATAAATTACTTAAATTCTCCAGTTGATCTCCAGCCTTTTACTTCCACTCTTTCTTGGGCAAACTGAAAACTTCGACAACAGTTTCTACTTTTTCTTTTAACCGTTAGATCATGAACACAGACTCCATGTTAATAAATTCACAGTTTGTTTATATCACAAACTTTCAAATATTTAATCATTCATTTGTTCAGTATACCATATTTTACAGGCTATTAGGCGCTCTGGATTATAAGGCGCACTGTCATTAAATGGTCTATTTTCTAACTTTTCTCACCCATAAACCGCACCAAACTTTAAACGAAACACAACAGTTCGATGGATCAGTCGGACTTTGTTTGGGGCGTTCACGGTGACTCTGGGCTTTGTTCAGTTGTGGCGTGTAGGGAGGGTGCTGTCTGGGACCGCTGGATTGTCGGTGTGTTCGCAGTGACTCGGATGTTCAGTTGTTTTTTCGGTTCGTTCCTCCATTCCGTTCCTTCGCTGTGCGGTCGCTGTCTGCTCTGTGTGTGTTTGCGTGCGCTGTGGGTGGTGCGGCTTTGTAGTTTACTGAAGTCATGATGGGACACCCGAGCACAGCCATTTTTTGATGCTTAAGATGGAGTCTAATACCCCGGAAAATATGGTAAGTCTTTCCAGCAGAACCACAATGATCATGTTGATTGTATCGTATTTTCCGGGCTATTAGACACGATCTTAAGCCTCTAACCCTATCAAAAAACGACCACGCGCCCCACAATCCAAAGCGCCCTATACACGAATCCACTCGGGTGTCCCAGCACGACTTCAGTAAACTACAAAGCCGCACCACCCGCAGAACACGCAAACACGCACAGAGCAGAAGGCAAAAAACACCCGCAGCCACACTCGTCACTCCACACCGACGAGGAACGGAACGGAGGAACGAACCGAAAAAGCGAGCGCAATGTGCCACTTCTAAACACAACTGAACAACTGAGTCACTGCGAACACGCCGACAATCCAGCGGTCCCAGACAGCACCCTCCCTACACGCCACAACTGAACAAAGCCAAGAGTCACCGTGAACGCGCCAAACAGACCCATCACACTGTTGTGTTTCGTTTAAAGTCCGGTGAGGTTTATCTGTGAAAAAAGTTCGAAAATAGACCATTTAATGACAGTGCGCCTTATAATCCTAATAGCCCGGAAAATATAGTATTATTATCACTCTGCCTGTTATACATTTTTTGACTGCTTGATGGCGCAGTGGAGCAAATGAAGCACCTCGAAGCATCAGCTCAAGAGTGGAGCAAATGGATGGAACACTTCAGTGCTTCGCCATCACTGCTTTCACCTTGTATTACCTGTCACAATATTCAAAGCTGAAGAAACATTACCGTCATAACTCTCATCACGACTATTTCTTCTAAGACTAATAGTAGTGACCGGCTAATGAAGCAGGTTTGGGAGTGGAATATGCAGGCGCTGTAGTTCACGTCGCCCCTCGGAGGCTCCCTACGACTGCGCCTGTCCTATTATCTCCTCATAATGATATGGAAGGTCAGGCCATGTGCTCTGTCTGCATCAAGTACATTCATTATCCCCCATTCTCCAGTGGACCGCGTCATTCTCCACTACTGTATCATCCCAATTATAATGGGGATAGATTATGCGTGACTTAATCCTTTCCTGGTTTTAAAAAAAATTAAATAAAAAGAAGATTGGCTTAATGGGGTGTTGTGTTTGTTGATTTTTTTCTGCACTACGATGCAATGTGATGAGTCATCTATTTATCCTAATGAAACACTTATTGAAAGGTTATTTTTCTTCACTCAACTTAGGCTACGTTCAGACTGCAGCCTGAAGTGACCCAAATCCGATTTTTTTTTTTGGCCCCTATGTGACCTGTATCTGATCTTTTAATGACAGTCTGAATGACACAGATCAGATTTTTTCAAATGCGACCCAGGACACTTTGGCTCAATTCGGATTTTTTTGTGAAATCCGATGTTTTAGCGAAGTCGTTCACATTTCCAATTAAATGCGACTTGTATGTGACTCCAGTGTGAACAGTAAACGGCCCAAAAGTGTCCCGCATAAAATATTATAAACGCTTTTATTTTAATGTTACAAGATTACCATTATGTACAAATTTAGAATTACATTTAAAAACATAAAATAAAATTAAAACATATTGTAATTAGATACTGATTGTTTATTTTCCAAAGTGATAGGGAGCT